GGTTTCGATACCCGTGGGGGCAGAGCACAGATAGCCCGTTGTGTAGCTTTGTGCTTAATTACAAACAAACAAACTAGCATTCGCACAAACTCGTAATTTAATACTAAAATACTATAGCTGCTTTTCTTAACCTTTGTGTAGTAGAAAGTTCAATTTGTGACTGTAAAGTTGTTGACCACGTCCAATAGAGGGAACTGAAATTGTTTGAGCATACATTGTTAAAGTTGAACTTTGTTCAAACTACGTGATAATCGCAACTGGGTTGAACTGTGCAGATTTAAAGGAAAGGGAGTCAGCGCGTTTCAGTTAATTTGTCCTGTGCATGTAGCCTCAGGACTCTAAAAGCACAAAAGGTAGATTTAATACGGTCGAAATGAAAAACTTTTATGTAGAGATTTAACGTAAACTTGAGGAAAATTTCTAGTGTACTATGCAAACCGCTAGTAAAACAGAAAAACAAAACAACAAAAAAATCTCCTGAAAAACAAGTTCTTGGTATACAATACTAACGTTTTTTTCCCCTAACATATAACCTGTTAGTTCAGGGTCACTTCCATACATGTAGAAACTCCGCTCAAATCATCTGCTTTTACTTTGTTTATTTTTTCCCTAAAAATTCGACAAAAAGTAAAGCTTCTGAAGCTAGAAAAACAAGATATAACTTAATATACCCGTAAAAAATAATTAATTAGCCATCAGAGCCAGATAAAATTAAAAGAAACGCAAGGGATACGCCAATAGAATGGCAAGGGCAACCATTTCGACCTACCTCTTTTTCTCCGGCTATGATTTAAGTAGATAAATTAATAGCGCCATTTTATACGTGTATGTATACACACACACACAATTTAAAAAATATTTTTATCTCTGTATATTTATAGTCTTTCTCTCTGGTCTTGAACCATCTTTCTCGGTTCTAAGGAAGGTTACTGTACACAAACTTCTTTATCTAACATCCTGCAATAAACAATTATAGTATTTTGGCACTTGTGAATGACGTTAAAATCATAAATAATATTCAACGTTAAACTGGTACACAATTAAAAATATTTTATTTAGGCCTATCTATGGCCTTCAAAAAGTTGACGACTCTACATGTTTCGACGTTACAACGACTCCTGAGGATGACTTAGAATGCTAAAATCCGGAGTTTGATTCTCCGCGGTGGACACAGCAGATAGCCCAATGTGGCTTTGCTTTAAAACAAACATACGCAAGCCACCTGGTGACCAGAAAATAGTTACGTTGTCACGATGCTACATGCTTGTAATACTATAGAAGTTTAATAGCCGCTTGTTTCCATTTCAGATATTTGGTCACGTGCCCACAAGATATAACACGGAAGATATATATATATATATCTGGGTGTGTGTGTCCAATCTCACGAATTGCCAGATAGCTAGAGAAAATGGGTTGTTTGCACGTTTAACCCATATATATATATATATATATATACACACACACACACACACTATTAAAGAAGTACAACATTAATATAATTGTACAGTATATCATTTATTAAAAACAGGGACCAGCCCTAAAAATACTACATGTTTCTGTGTTCTGAAGATTGTTTGCTTTATCCAGTCCAAGATTCTGGATATACGTTAAATAGGTTTGTTTGTAATTAAGCTCAAAGCTACACAATGGGCCATCTGTGCTCTGCCCACCACGGGTATCGAAACCCGGATTCTAACGTTGTAAGTCCGCAGACATACCGCTGTGCCACTGGGGGGGGGGCGTTAAATAGGAAACTAAGTAATTAACCATTGTAATAAGTTCAATTAAATGCATCCTTTATCAATATTCTCGAACTTCTGTAGTGTTAAAGCTCTGTCTTATACGTGGAGAACAGAAATATAGATTTTCTAAATAATAATAACTATAATTCTTTACAGAAATCAGATACATATTTTTTAGATGTGAACATGAGTCATTTTGTTTGTGAAGATCGTGTTTAATATCACTCTAATATAATGATGGAATTGTTAGAACACTATATATGATCCTTGTTCTCACTGTTTTTAAACTTATATCAGTATTTCATTAACGGTTCATATTGACGTTTATATTTGTCTGTAATAATTAATTGATTCTAGGCTTACTATTTTGTTAACACGAAACAATGTGTCAGTCTTCACACTACAAAATATAGAAAGAAGCACTTGTCCATTGACCTTCCCGCCTTCATATATTTGTATTTATTGATGTGATTATTTCTTCGAGCTTCAAGTAAATAAATACCATTGCAACAAGAATTAAAAGCCCGAAGTAGCATGCTATTAGCTATTCGTAAAAAAAAAAAAAAAAGACGTTCCATCATTTAGTCAGCAGTCTTGTGTGGATTCTCCCGCCTTTGTATTTCTTTTGTCTTCTTGAACAAGAACTCTTTGACAGAACTGGGCGGTACCATCTGTTCACTAGGTTATAAAAAGGGCTTAATCTACCAAGATATTCAGCTTTTATTTCTCTTTTTTGGCATAGAACAAAATAGTGGTAAAGAATTAATGAAGGTGTGCAGTCGAATAGACCAAAGAATGAATGAGTGCTGGGTGAACGTTCGCCACTAGTTGGCGTGCAAGGCGTGACCTGCATGATAGAAAAGTCGAAGTGTCAGATCATGAAGATAAAGTATGCTCGCAACAATAACTGTTTACCAAGAACTCGCCAAAAGAGAATCATTTGACGTAATTCTAGACTTTTATTAACAAGACTTCGGAACAAAAACTTGATATAAATAATGTCCATGAAGTGTAAAAAAGTATCTAAGAAATTTTAACTACATGTTCGTTTTCGTAAATAATCGATCCTATCTTAGAAGTACGGTGTTTATAACTTACATTGGTTTCTCGCTAATGATACAGAATCGAGCTAAAAAAAGGTTTTTAAAGTGAAAAAACAACAATATCAAATAGGTAATTTTTGTATACATAATTTATTTTGATTTAATATATGAAAAGTAAAGTGAAAATATAAAAATCCACATGCTTTGGCAGTACTCGAACGTATTGAAAAATGTGTCATTTTCGAAAGAAATAGCTCGCTATTTGTTTATTATTCTTTTCTTTTAACTAGAAAATCTCGAGTCGATCGTACAGAGATTCTCGTGTTTTGGTGGCAATTTTGGGGAAACCCACTAGACCAATTCTTCTTACCAAAAATTACACATGATTGGGCACAATTTCGTGCCTCGAAAAACCCAATATAATTCCTAAAATGTTGTCTTGGTGTTGAGGAAGAAGTCTTCCCAAAACAAGGTTACTTTTCCTAAGGACCATTCTACTCTGATCTTGATTTGCACTGGAAGAATAGATATGCACTTAGCATAAACAAAAATATATGATCAACTCTTTCTTTTAACTTTCGTTGGTTGAGGTCTGACCAGTCTTGTAAGATAAGTCTGTCAATCACTGAACGATCAAAGTTCTTAGATGATGAAAGTGGTTACCATGAAAAACAAATGAATTTTATTATCCCTCGTGCTTCGCAGTTTTTTTCTTGCCCTCTTTTGATTGGACTATAATGTTTTTGGACGACCTCTTTTCCTGATCGTTTTTACTTCAACAGAAATCCCATGGCGCCTGCAACCAGAACGTTTGCATTTCATGCGAACATTACACCTTCCAAAATTACAATTTAAACTGAGACTAGGGTAAACATGACTTTCGGATATTAGCCCAGAGTATATTCACTAGTTTAGTACTGGAAACTGGTCTTCTCTATTGTAAATTAATATACAGAAGGCAATACACTCGCCACATTTTGACAACACACGTTAGGAAGAACTCATTTTCAAATGAAGATTTCTTTGCAAAAAGTGAATTGATAAACACAAAAGTTGTGTTTTTCGAATACTCTAATACTAAAACTACCGTTGAAAGGTAGGCAATTTTAGTGCTCCTTGTCGTTTGGTGGATATTGTGATGACCAGAACAGCCACTAATTATTGTACGATCGATTCCTGATGTAAGGTTTAATAATGATATTACACTAAAAATACTGATTTTGTAAGATTTTGAGCTGATCAAGGTCTTATGGTTAGTTTGTTTTATTGTGGCTCCAAAGTTCCAGGGTTTACGTTCCGTTGTTGCAAAATCGTTTTAAGCACTTTGTGGCCATGAGTGCTGTAGAGTAGTTTACCTTCCCCTAATCTGTCAGTTCAAAATTATAGACTACTAGCGCAGATAGCCCCACAAAAAGAACTGACTTTGTTAGCATTGGAACGTGTTTGGCTTCTTTTGAGATTGAGTATTTGAGGGAGGGAAAGCTTTACTGGAACCTGTTAAACGCATTTTCGAATTATTTTAGAAACTTATTTTTTCTTCTCTTCTACAGGTGGAGTGAATTTACTGATGAAATTTTGTTTGGGTGACAGACTTAGTTCAGAACAGATCGAAGCATTGCAGTCGACAGCACTATTCATTAATTTGTCTACTTTTGATCCTAGCCTTAAGTAATTTGATACAACCAAGTCCTGTCAGTCGGCTGCATTTCGTAGGATCAGATTTCTTACGGATAAGAGGATTTGTATCTAGTGTGGTGTAGAATTTCTGCCTCTAACACGAGGTTATGTCTAAGGCTCGTGTCGATGATGAAGACATACTCTAGTTGATAAAGGTCGTTTGCTTGGAAGATTTATATATACAAGTTATAAATATCAGTAACTTAACTGTTGACCAACCAGAGAGAAAAGTAAAACTACACTAATTACCCCAAATGTTTTATGTAGACCATGGTTACCATAAATCGACTTCAACCTATTACTCCTTCCATGCACTCTAAGCAGTAACAAGAACTTGACACTTGCACAAACCGCTAATAAATCTTAAGAAATGCTTCGTACTGTATACTGACGTTTAATTGTAATTTTACTTAAAACACTATTATCATCGTACAGCTTGCGAGATTTTAAATAACCACACCTTTTACTTTTCACTATATGCTCACACATTAGAAAACTGAGGATTCTCTTGAATTGACTTGGACCACCATCCAAGGTCGACTGGCCAGTAGGCAACAGTCGTCGTGTCTGACAAGAGTTCATTTGATCTAAGAACATTATTTTCATCACTTTCAGTTATCAAGTTCCAGTATTATTGGTGATTATCAAGTACATGGAATATTTTAAAACGGTATACGTGATTTATTGTCTTGATTATTATATATTTTATGCCTAAAATAATAAGATTAACTTCCGATTTGTACACTTGTAGCATAATTTATTTTCCTTCTTGTATGACAGTAAAAAAAAACAAAAAAAACAACTTTTAAAAAGTGCAACTGTCATGCATAATTATCTTTTTTTTTATAGGCCCAGCAAGAGAAGAGGAAGATGCAGGCAGATCTTGAGGAGTTAAGACGAGAAAAAAACAATGAAGAGCAGAAAAATGACGTTCTCAGACAGGAACTTGACCAATGTCAATCTCTTTTGGAGGAGACAGAGTGGACTTTATGTCAGAAAACTGGCGAGATATCCTTGCTGAAGTCACAGTTAAAGGGATCACAAGGGGATCAAACAACTCGGGCAACAGAGTTGTTATCATTGAAAGCCCAATTGAAAGAGAAGCAATTGCAACTAACAGAAAAAAACCAGAAGATAGGCAACTTGCAAGAAGATTTGATGAAGAGTCGGGAGGAAGTGTGCCACGCCAAACAAGAAGTAGAACGAATGTTACAAAACATTCGTAGCCAAACGCAAAGTCCTTCGGAACCCCAGACGGCTTTACTTAATCACTTCAAGGAGGAAGTGGAGCGGCTCCGTTCAGAGTTAGCGATATCAAGGAAGCAGCTAGAAATAACAAGAGACAACATTGAAGAGGAAAGAATTCAGTGGTTGGAAGAGAAGGAAAAAGTAATAAAATATCAGAAACAGCTACAATTAAATTATGTTCAAATGTACAGAAGAAATCGAACCTTGGAGTCGGAATTAGAACATATGACTTTAGAGTTGGGAGGAGTAAAAGATTTTAATTCTTTGGCAGGAGAGTCTCAGTGCTGACACACAGTAGTTGTTACATGGTAAAGTCTATGGTATTTTCTATGCTTCACTAGCTAATTATTAGTTTTTCAATAACTTAAGGATTCCAATTTGCTCACTTGATAGGGAAAAACTGTCTTGAAATTCTCAGCTTATGTTTTGAACACTCCTCTGAGAATGGAGTTCCACTTTTGAAATATAATTTATAAATTCATTCTCTAAAACCAACCTTTGCATGACAATGCAAATTCATTGTTTTTATTTACGCCACTGAGATATCTTGGTTGCTCAAAGATGCGTTTTTAATAATACTTTTAGTTAGTGTGGGTCAACGTTTTTGTACGGAAACAGAAAAGCTAAGTGTCATTTTAAGATGGAAGATTAGTGACCAAAAACCAGTATACGACACAACTAGAAAGAAATCAGGATCACTTGTACTTTCTTTCACGTGATGGATCACATTATTTTATTCTTAAAATGAGCTAATTTATCGGCCATTTTGTTACTGACATGGCTGGTTCATCTCATATTAGTACACGTCATTTGTCAACTTACCGAGGTGGAGAAAAATGACGAGGTGGAGAAAAATGACGTATATAAATGGCCTTGGCCGACATGTTTGTCATCTGTCAATATACTTAAACGAATCCATTATTCAAAGTTCTGAACACAAACTATATATATTCACACTGTGTGTGTGTGTGTGTGTGTGATGGCGTGTTCTATGATTGTTAAGTATCTACTGTTTGTGCTATTTTAATTATATATATATATATAATTCTGTTCATCCTAAGAAACTGGAGTTTTACTCCAGAATTAAAAGTTGTCAGCGACCTTGGTGCTTTGTAGGTCTTGCAGCTCTCCACCAAATAGTAGTGTGCTATTTCTGAGGGTCGGAGTGCGATGAACTCAGTGTTGATAGCTTGTGCCAAAGGTATTAATTATTGTGGAACCTAGTAGTTCTGTACATATCGGCGCTTTTTTTACGAGTTATATAAAAATGTGCATGTTAATAGATGAGTAATTCTTTAAACAGTACTCGAGTTAAGACATATTTTGTCCTTTTAAAATTGAAAATATACAGTGTTCAAGTAAATGTAGGGCGGATATACAAGAAACCCCCATATTTAAAATGATAAAATAGTTAAACTGTCGAAGAAAGTGTTCAGTATGCTTTCCGTTAGTTTAAATCTGCATACCAGGCCTACTCCTAAATGGAGCTACTTTTAAGTATTGGTCAGGTATTTATTCAAATCGTCACTCTCGTATTTTTGGAAAAGAATAGCAAGTCTGGTATGCCAGAAAAGCCTTTTAGGTATGCAATATAATACGGTTTTAAAACATCCTGTATCTTATCCAAACTTTCCTGAATAAAAAAATTTGGATTATTAATGTACCATTTAGTAAAATTTTATTCCTATATAAAAACATAACCATTTTAAATATGAAGTGCTCTTTATAATCACTTAGTGTGTTTAAGGTTAATAAAGTCAAAGACAATGTTTACCCGTAAAAAACTAGCTACAGTCAAGACTGACTGACTTCTAAAATAATGTTTGCGGCACTTACACCTGCTATACATATTTAATTGTTTTGAAGGAACATAATTACCACATGGATTTCAATTAACAAAATGTCTTTCAGCCGGTGCCGGCTTTAAAGCATAAGTAAGGCAAGCGACTGTTTGGGGCCTAGCGATATTTCATACAAATAAAACTTCTATCATAGTTATTTAATCCCTTAAAATAATAGGCACCTAATTTGAATCTTAATTGTGAAAAAAAAAATTCTTTGCTTGTGTTAGCGTGATTACCTTGCTACTTTAGGCCTCGCGGTTGCTAAGGCCGACACGGATTATAATGATATTGGTTGGTACGAACATGATGTCCTCCACCCATTAGTCAGCACTACACATTAATTAATTTGAAGTAACATAATTATTTTTCCTTTCCTAACTAGATGACCTGCAACTGTTAGTCAGCACTAGTAAATTGCTTTTAATATATCATTACAATGCTATTTTAAACTAATATGATGTTATCTATCATTCAATTAATTGATTAGAATGAATAGTTGTCTCGACAAGATTTTATCCATTGTTCCATTTTGTGTCCTACATAAAGCAATAATGCAATTAAGACTTGGTTCACACGGTTGTAGGCAAAGCTGCCAGTGGGTACAAAAAAAGTGACACAAAATTTATAACATTTTACCGTATACTCAACCATTATAAGGAGAAGTTACTATTCGAAGAGCTTGCCCCTAGGAAATTGATTGATAAATGCCTGTAATGAAAGAAAGTCCAAGTAGATGGAGACACTTAAAGGTACACAGCTCTCAACCCATTTATATACACACACACACACCGTATAACACTTATTAGCAAGTTATCTTATGGATCCATGTATGTTTATACATTAAAATATTTAATCCTCTTTTGATAGCTAGTTAAGTCTTAATTTGTGTAGTTTGTTGTAAAAATGATTTACATATAGTGATGCAGTGACGTGTCGCCACAGACCCGTGTTCGCCAGTTTAACCTTTTTGGATCATGGAGAATTCTCGACTTTCAACGTGGCCAGGTTAGACTTATGATTACAATAAAGTGGCACATCCCCGTTTAAGAAACAATATTCCTGTAACTAGATTGCTAAACGGTGCGATGTCAAACAACACATAATTTTGAAAATGAAGAAAAACTCGTACCATAAGGGACTGAAATCATACCCCAAGCTAATCTGGAGAAACGACCTCGTCTACAAAGTGGATATTTAATTAAAATAGAACCCCCCAACTCAAAAAGCCACTGCGATAAAGCATAGGTCTACTTCCTGATAACGCTAATAAGATAATGAACAAGGATTTGAAGTTATCGAAAACTTTTAAGCTTCCACACCCACCTGGAAATGAAGTTATTTTTATAAAATAAAAAACTGGAGAAAAAACTCGAATTACTGCAATCCTATCCAACCAAATAGCTGTCAAGTCCCCCAGAAGTGCTCTAACCAAATATCTGTCAAGTCCCCCAGAAGAGCTCCAACCAAATATTTGTCAAGTCCCCCAGAAGTGCTCTAACCAAATATTTGTCAAGTCCCCCAGAAGAGCTCCAACCAAATATTTGTCAAGAATCCCCCCCCCCCGAAGTGCTCTAACCAAATATCTGTCAAGTCCCCCAGAAGAGCTCTATAGGCTTCTTCTGTGCATTTAATCTGCTTAGACGCAGTCTTGGAAGTCGACGTCATACACAGTGACGAGTCTATGAAAAATTGAAGATTTGTGGTCTAGGAAGTTTATTACAATAGAAACTGGGTGTCATATAACTGTTGCTAATCATGGTCATCACAATGAATACGATTAACGATAGAGGAAGTAGTTACAAAGGCAGCACGAAACCTGGATCGTCGTTGTTATAAAGTGCAATTAATACTCAATATTCATATACATTTATTTATTTACCTTCAAGTTATGAGTATTTCTCCAAACAAATACTCCAATATTTTACTTTTTCAGTATCTTCACGTACTTGTAAAATTTAAAACCCTGCTTTGCGCTAATGCACACACATTCACAGCTTCTAAATAAGTATATACAATAATATCTGTACAACATTAAAACTGAGACCTGACTTAATATAGAATATTTTTAAAGCTATTTTAATTCCTTTGCTATTAAAGAAGTATTGGAGTTTATGTAAAGGCACATCATTCTAATTTTAGCTGTAGATTTTGTTGTATTTGACGTGCAACACCGATAGGTTAACCTTATGTTTGGAAGTATACGTCACAACCCCCCTGAAAAGGGGATATTCGGAAAGGGTACTTCACAGAAGCTGAAAAACTCGAGCAATTCACAAAGTCTTCTTAGTATCAATTTTCAAGTTATCATTTAAACTGTACCAATAGTATCAAACACATACAAATCAGAAGCCTCCGTTTCTATGGTTTATATCTTTATTACATTTCTTCAGCATGGTATTATACATTTTAATAACAAAACAGTAAAAGTTCAGAACATTGTTGAAATCTCTCTCCTTCGACTAGATAAACCAAATATTTGTACAGGCATCAAACACTAACATGGAAACAACTTGTTTAAAATTTTTGTACCTTGAGACAATATGGAGAATAAATAATAACAAAAAAAAAACACATATACATATATATTTCCAGCTGCAACAAAGCTCTATTATACATCTTTCTTTCTAATAGTTATTTCTAAAGATGCCACAAGGTGGTACCACTATTCCACCCAAATCTACTATATCTTATTTGTCAGTTATCTTAGTTAGAAGCTTAACTACAACACACACATCATAAGTCAATCAATGCCACAGTATACTTGTCTGCAGAAACTGACAAGAACAAGTCCATTAACTGGAGAGGAGAAGAATAAGGGTTAATTAACCTCATGTTTGTTTCTTTAAGATAAAGATTAAATTCCGGTATTTTATATTATATAAAACAAGGAAAGGAAAGGTAAGTTCAGAGCCTCAAATATGGGTGGTTGGTGGGAAACTCCTCTAAGAAGATAATTCCAAGTCTGGAGAGACTTAACACTTTGTAGTCTCGAGTTTACACTCTCAACCTTCGCAAACTTAACAGACTATCAGTTTCCATTAATCAAAGCTATAAACCCATTTCACTTTCAAGTTGTTATTTTAACAGAAATTATGAGAAAAACATCTTTAGACCATAGTTCAACTGGTGGCAATCACAATTTTCTAGTCTTACAAGCACGAAAGTTAAGTTAGGAATGTTTTTCAATAATGAATATATAATACATTTCACACAATACAGAGTAAAGAAAACGTTTTCTACTTAGTTCCACCTCTTTCCAAATAACCTTCATCACAAGCGTTATTAAAACCGACCTCTTAACGTCTATGAACTCTAGCCTATTTAGCTCTCATAGCCGAAGTGTATTATTCCATTACAAGAATAATGGTTAGACAAATTCAGATGGAGAAGAGCTTACTGATGTACTCTGAATCTTTTACACTGGAGATTTCTTATCAATAGGGTATATTATCAGCATTTATCTTATTTTCAATTCTTCCAAACTATATCACAGCAACAAACTTACATTTAGCATATCTCCTTAGTCATTTAAACTGTGTTCATTAATGTACATTTTGTTTGAAATTACTTTTATTAAAATGGTAACTTATGCATGTCAGAAGTTATTAAATGGTCAGAGACTGAAATGGCAAAGTTCAGTTTTTCACTGATGGGATCGATGATACTCTAATAACTGAAAAAAAAAACCTGTCAGGCTGGGCTCTCACTAGAAATTTGTTTGTAATTAAGCACAAAGTTACACAATGGGCTATCTGTGCTCTGCCCAGCACGGGTATCGAAATCCGGATTCTAGCGTTGTAAGTCTGTAGACATACTCACTAGAAATAGTGACAATGACAGTAGATGTATACTTAGTAAGCAACATAAAAACATGACACTGAAATAATTATCTCGGCTAGAAGAGACAAGTTTAAGAAAGTAATAATGCACTAGGCTATTAAACACATTGACATTTCATTCCTTCCACCTTTAAATCTTCAGAGTTTTTCAGTGAAGCTCAACCTCATAATATGAACACAATAATGGAATTATTCTTAAAATTCTGAACAAATTCAAGATGTATAAGAAGTTAATGTAAGTTGTAGATTTTAGTAAATACATATATCTATTTTGAGTTCTCCTTCAGAGCTAGTAATTACAGTAATCAACAAGTTACTAATTTACTACAGCTGCAAAGCATGCACCAAATATGGTAGTAACAACAGGTATTGCAACAATAAAGCGTAGAGTGAAAATAATGATAGCAATTATTTCAAGTTTTTCTTTGACACTATTTATCTTACAATTCTTGGAGAAATGATATTTATTTCTTAAGGTAAAATACTATGAAAATTAACTCACATCCAAGTAGCTGTATTTGTGGAAAAGCCTGAAGTTGATATAAAGAGATAAGCTTCATATTTTTATTCTTAAGTCACAAAACGTCCTTTGCTGCAGTTAAATATAATAACAATTAAATGGTAAACTCAAGACAAAAAAAAAATGTTCCCCTGTCCTTTCTCCTTTCATAGCTTTGTTGCTAAAACATTATGATCCTTTCGAAAATACTCCTAAAAATAAGAAATCTTAAAAATTTCCACACACATATATATATATATATGCAAGTTGAAACATATCAATCTTGAAACTTTAGTTCACAAAAAATAAACTTCCCATGACATTCTTTCAAAGTCACCTAAAATAACCGATTAAAAAAAAACACTCAAAAAATCACATTTTAAAACAATACATGAGATGAGAGCATACAAGTACACTGAATCTTTGGTTTTGGGGGTAACAAGTATACTTATATATATATGGATGTGTTTATTTACATGTTAATTACGATGTTAAACTATTTACACCCAAATTAATGATCGCTATTGTAAAAAATCAATAAAGATTAAAACCCTATATTAAGTTACAGTAAAAAACATTGTTTTTATCTAGACCAGATGGAGTTAAAATAACTTCGAATATGGTGAATTTAAAACAAGAGGAAACACAGACATTTACCTATTTAAAGTCTTTACATTTATCTATTAACTATAAAACAAATCAGGTAGTTTGGATTGTGTGAATTACACATTAGCTAATCAGAAATAGTGGGTGTAGGATTGTAATCCACCAGGATCAATCCTGACAATATTCACTAGCATATCAAAGCATTTTCAAGGTCTTAAAGAGCTAGGTTAACACTTTTCTAGAGAGATGAATAAAGTTATCATAATTAAGAAAGAGTTCAAAAGATTAAGGTTTATTTATGATAATAAAGGCATTTCAAAGGACAAAAACAGATTTTGAACAAATAAAAGCAGATATGGCATCTAACACCATAAGAAAGATAAAAAAAAAGATTATTGAAAGGGTTAATGCAGTGAATTAGTTAATTTTAATTAGCAAAATACACAATGGTCATGGTAATATTTTTTGGACAGATTGGTTTTAGAATAATACTTTTTTTTTAAAGTTTACAACCTTGTCGAATTTGAACTGAAACAGATCGTGATAATACACAATGGGCCCAATTATTTATGCCATGATTTAAAACTTCTCCTGAAGTTTGGAATTACCTCTGTTCCCCAAAAGGAGGATAATATTCATTAGCTTGAAATTCTCATAATCTTCATCATACATCATACAAATATTCCAATAACTCAAGGCTAAAAAAAATTGCAGTGTGAACCTAAGTGTAATTACAGGTTTAAAGGGTTAAAACATTACTAAGACTCTAGCACAATTTACAAATAAGTACTAAGTGTATAATAATACATTAATAAAAAGATGGGACCTTCTAGTCCAATTTTTATGGCACATAAAGGTTATAGATATATATTAAACCAACCATGATTCTAAAGTCAATTGACATTATTTATAGCTTCTGAAACTTGTAGTATTAGTGGGTGAAAATAAACATTAAATAAATATACAATCTATGAATTAGTTTTTACAACAAATCTAGCAATGAAAGAGTGACATCGCTGGTACAAATTCGCATACTGTACATTACCAATAAATTATTATTATACATACTTCTCTTCATTCATGGTTGCATATATTGGATAAATACAACACTTTAAAGAAAATTCTAAGGATAGGGACACTGCTCTATCAAGCTCACAACTAAACATTATGCTGGGAAAGAGTAAGAATAACATTAATATTTCCATTTAAGTATTGTTTTAAATTCACACTGAGAGTTACAAGCATAAAATTCTAAAATTTTCAGACATCTAAATCACAATTCTACTTTTATTTCACCTCAAGCTGTTGGTCCATTGACCAGATATATCTACAGATATAAAGTATGTACTGTTTGTTCCACAGTGGAATAAATCATTTACTGTCACTGGGAATACACTGGATGATGTTATCTAACAAAAATGTAATTTATGCATTGCTTTCCCCTTTTCTTTACTTTCTGATATTTTAATTATACAAAGTTGTTCTCGTTCTTTGAACTTTGCACAAAGCTACTCGAGGGCCATCTGTGCCGTCTCTAATATTGAAGTGACAGACTAGAGGGAAGGCAGCTAGTCAACACCATCCACTGCCAACTCTTGGGCTACTCTAATTGAAGAGTGAGATTTGACTGTCATGGCCCTAAAATGCAGAGCATGTTCTTTATTTTAAGTTTTTGACATTAATGGAGTGCCAATTTAGAATCCACACCATCCACTGGGCCATGATTGTCCAATTATACAAAGATACTCAGTGTTGCAACATGAAACCTTCTATTAAAATACGATGTAGATGTCTGAAAAAAAAATACAAATTTTATAATTTCATATACACTGCTATCTTACAACTAAACTTAATAGTTTATAATTAAAACAGTGCATTTATGCATAAAATAATTATTCCTCAAACGACATATTATTGGGTGTATTTATGTTAAAGCAGTAACTCAGAAACTCGTAGGTCTGAGTTTAATAGCTGATCAAATATATTTTAGTTAACATTGTTAACACTTAGCTATTTTTTCACGTACAATTTATACTACTATTTCAAGTTAATAGAATTTGATTCTAAAATGACAAAATATTTACAATTTTCAGAAATAACCTGTTTTAATAAGGTGATATTATATGATATAGTTTTTTTTAGACAAATAACTAAATATTTCAGGAACAAAACCTAATAAACCATATTTGTCTGCTTCAGACAGTCATAATCCATTGAAAAATTTTTTTAAGACAAAAGAAAAATTATAAAACATATACACATACCTTACTTGGCACCTTCGTCAAGTGGTTAAATTCTTCGACAACAAGATCAAGTCCTAAAAACTATTACAAGACGTCTTATAAACATAATTTAAATGTCACAAATAGAATTACCAAAGTAATAAAGACTTGTATTTGATAATAATCAATGAAGTAAATATGATGACAACCAACTATTCCAATTCTGGTCTTTCTACTTATAACATGTATTTGTAATTTTTATTTGGCACAAAGAGAACACATAGCCCTTTTCATTCAAAAGAGATTTTTGAAAATACTATCCAAAACATGTTTCATGCTTAAAAGCCCCATGAAAGCTAGTACAAGTAATCTTCAGTATATTTTAAAAATGTTCCAAAATAAAGATTAAGTTAAAAGAAAGCAACCAAAAATGGAAATTCCTCCAATGAAATATATAATGAAAACAGACCATTTGACAATGGTAGTTTTGGACTCTGGCATATGCTTTACATAACCTTACTGATCTTCATAAGTATAAGCAGCTGACAATATTCACACTGTAGTTTCTCGAAAGATCTGCACAGGAGACCCAGGATACTTGACGTGAATGTAGCGAGTCACAGTTCCAGAGTCTGGACCTGGCGACATGGTCAGTCCAACTCTTGGAAGACCAAACCTTGACGTGTCCAACAACGGAACTTGTGAAGGCAGATGGTCATTTGACCTCTCATTTTCTGGAAACAAATAAGATATTGGGTCATAAGATGCCAAGTTCTCAATACTACCAGTATAATTACTGTAAATGCGAAACAACTGTAATTTACATTTCCAGTACTGTTTACACTATTACATCAGTTTATGAAATACAAAGATAGTAGATAAGTTATAATGTAGGCTGTAAATTATCTTGTGGTGATCTTTATCTCAGTATTCAGCCATCACATAAGGTAAGAATTACAGTAAGTTACTATGATTTAAGTCATAAATTACTACCATAATCCTGTAATAGTTTTGGTTTGTGTGCAGTTACATAAACTTAATAATTCTAGTTACTTGGCATAATCTAACTAGTCAAAAGAACTAGTGACAGATTTCATATTCATGCTAATTCTACAAGGTTACGTGCTACTAAGACAGTAGCTAAGTTGGATACAGATCTTAAATACCCACCAGTCTTCTGAAGTACCTCTGATCTCTATGCTGTATCATGTATGTGTAAGTAAGCACAATCTAGATTTTAAACAATCAAAGAATTTTGTGGAAACCTTGATTTCTATGTTTAAATTGTAGGCAATAGTTAGCATGTCTTAGATCATAAATAGCCTCCAAAAGTTGTTGAAAATGTTCATTAGTTTACGATATATAAGAGAAGGTTAGCATGATTTATATTACACATAATAACCAGAATATGGTGACACTAATCTCTGTGCTGGTCCATTAGTTTATGGTGTATGTAAGAGAAAGTTAATAATGATTTATATTGTAGATAATAACCAGAATTTGGTGATACCAATCTCTGTGTTGTTCCATTAAGTTTGTTTAGTAGATAAAAACTGACTGCTCATAATCTTGATTCATGATTAAAACATCAACAATGAAATATATTTCTCCCCACACTAATTATTAATTACACTGATTAAATTGACAGTTGCTACTCAAAACTCTTCAGTCTCTAATAAAAAAATTACTATCCGTGTTGAATAACTAACTGCCTTCCCTCTAGTCTTTCACTATTAAATTAAGAATGGCTACCTGGAAAGGAGATGAGTGCCACCAGGTAAATCTGCTTGAAAATAACCAGCATTTAAGGTGCCCCAATGGTCATAAGTGGCCTCAGGATAAAAAAAAATATTAAAAAAATGCATGGTTATAAACAATAGTAGGTCATAATGCATAAATCCTCAAATTTTGTAGGTAATAACTGATTTTAGAGTGTAAATGGATAATAAGTAGAAGTGATTAATCTATGGGGTGTAAGATCCTAAAAGGTTTGAGGTAAACAGCTGATCATAAAGCATATACAAGCATTATAAAACTTCTCTCTGTTCTCCTTAGGGTCACTATTATAAAACTTCTGTCTGTCTTCCTTAGGGTCACTGTTAAAACCCTTCTGTCTGTCTTCCTTGTGGTCACTATTAGAATGTTTCCGTCTGGCTTTCTTACAGTCACTATTAGAATGCTTCTGTCTGTCTTCCTTACGGTCACTATTAAAACGCTTTTGTCTGTCTTCCTTACAGTCACTATTAGAACGCTTCTGTCTGTCTTCCTTAAAGTCATTATTAGAATGCTTCTGTCTGTCTTTCTTATGGTCACTATTAGAACGCTTCTGTCTGTTATCCTTACAGTCACTATTAAAACGCTTTTGTCTGTCTTCCTTACGGTCACTATTAGAATGCTTCTGTCTGTCTTCCTTACAGTCACTATTAGAACACTTCTGTCTGTCTTCCTTACAGTCACTATTAGAACACTTCTTTCTGTCTTCCTTAGGGCCACTATTATAAAACTTCTGTCTGTCTTCCTTACAGTCACTTTAAGAACACTTCTGTCTGTCTTCCTTACAGTCACCTTTAGAACACTTCTGTCTGTCTTCCTTATGGTCACTTTTAGAACACTCCTGTCTGTCTTCCTTACAGTCACTTTTAAAACACTTCTGTCTGTCTTCCTTATGGTCACTTTTAGAACACTTCTGTCTGTCTTCCTTACGGTCACTTTTAGAACAAAGGAAGACAGACAGAAGAACAGTCACTATTAGAATGCTTCTGTCTGTCTTCCTTACAGTCACTTTTAGAACACTTCTGTCTGTCTTCCTTACAGTCACTTTTAGAACACTTCTGTCTGTCTTCCTTACAGTCACTTTTAGAACACTTCTGTCTGTCTTCCTTACAGTCACTATTGAATGCTTCTGTCTGTCTTCCTTACAGTCACTATTAGAATGCTTCTGTATGTCATCCTTGTGGTCACTATTAGAACACTTCTGTCTGTCTTCCTTACAGTCACTATTAGAACACTACTGTCTGTCTTCCTTACAGTCACTATTAGAATGCTTCTGTCTGTCTTCCTTACAATCACTATTAGAACATTTGTCTGTCTTCCTTACGGTCACTATTAGAACGTTTGTCTGTGTTCCTTATGGTCACTATTAGAACACTTCTGTTGGACTTCCTTAGGGTCACTATTAGAAAAATTGTCTGTCTTCCTTATAGGTCACTAAAAAAAAGAAGAAAAATAGTTATGGCTTTATAAGTAAATTTTGATGATATATAATCACACATTTGTTTCAATTGTACAAATATGCCATGCAGTATCCAAAGAAGTGATGTTACACGTGTATCAGTCTGGATGCTTTGTAGAATTGACAAGTATTATATTGTGGCTCATTCTAAAAATATAATGGGCTATAATAGGGCTTCAAAAGGTAAGGAAAGAGGTGAAACACATGAAAAAAATCAAAGACTGAAAAACTGCCTGATGTTAACTGAAATCTGAACAAGACAAAAAAAGAACAAAACATAGATGGTCTTCTGCCACACATACAAAATATAAACTTCAAAACAAACATAAAAGAAAAAAAAATTTTGAAACTTGAAACCTCCCATGCATCCATCAATAACACTACTAGCCACAAGTTGTAATTTGATGCACAAAGGCCATTTATAAAATCATATATATATGTATGTATGTATGTATATATATATATATATATATATATATATATATATATGATTTGCATTGTACAAACCACACAACTAGAAGTAAATCATGAATTTCAATAAAGCACAGGTTTACCTGTCTGACTGTAAGAGGTTTAGGTACAAAATCCTATTATTAAGTACATACAAAGGAGTGCAAAGAAACTTCACTATATGCAAACAAAATGATACTTTCTCTCTAAATAATAAACTACAACTGCAGAGAAAAATATGATAATTCTTATTAGTATTATTATTGTTATAAAACTAGCATCTTGGAATCTCAGAACATCACAATCAGGTGTTGGTAATATGGAGATATATGCATGACAGGTATCTTTGCTGTTCTGTACAGGGCGTCCCAGAAGTCTGGACCCATAGGAAAAAAATACCCAATTTATTCTTTATATATTTATTATTCAAATTACATGCCATTAACAGCCATACACATATCAGTTCTTGATATACCGTGCCAATATGGTATATTTTCTTTCCTGAAATATGTACAACTGACATTAGAAATGTGTTTGTTTAATTTTAAGAATACAATGTCTATTTTCTCTATGGGTCAAGACTTCTGGGACACCCTGTATAAAACATAATACCTACTAAGTTACCCAATTTTGCACTTTTGGATTTCTGTATATTTACACAGCTGAAAAGGCACTTGATAAACATCGATGAGGAAGAATGAATATGCTGTGAAGATCATTAGGGAGAGAGAGGCTAAACCAGGATCTTCTCTAGTTGTACTGTAAGAGCACTGAAATGGCTAGAGATTTAGATCAAAAGTAGGTGATTAGCATGGATTATTGTAAACACAGTATCCATATGGGTAGAAAAATAAAGTAAAAAGTGAGTGCTAACAGGTAAATCCAGCTTGTGCTAAAAAAATGAAATAAGTAATAGTTTAAAACATGAAACCCATGCACAAAACACACACACAAAAAGTATTTATGCACAGTGCAAGCATGTTAAACTTGGTATTTTTATCCTGTATAATAATAATAATAATAAAAAAAAAAATAATATTTTGTGTGAAGCATCAAAAAATAATCTTACAACTAGAGTACTTCATGCACTTCGACAACAAAGTCTTAAAATAACTTCTGTTCAGTTCAAAATGACAAGGTTTGTTTTCTGTTAGGCTTGTATTTCAAATAACATCCCTTTCTCAAAGTTGAAATACTAATTGTGATTAACTTAATAAATTGAACTTTATTTTTCATAGAAAAGTATTTACGCTGAAAAACAAACTCATACTTTTAAAATCTAATTTAGAAGACAGTCAGTAATGATGCTGTGAGAGGATTTCCTGATTCTGCTTTCTTATAGTATTTGTGTGCTAGCTTGTACAGTCTTTCTTTAAGTGGAGGGATGTTGCTTATTTTGTGTAAGTATTTGGTAAGGGTGTAACTTAGAAGTCTAAGGGCTAGTTTTACGACTCTTATTCTGTTGGATTTGCAGTTTGTTGAGAGTCTGTTTGACATGTTGTGACTTGGCATCTGTATGTTTTATATATTTTTAGGATAATTTCAGATAAGCATCCTTTATTTTGTACAGTAACAAGTCTTAAATGATTAATTTGTTTGCTAACTGATTCATGTAGCTTCCTTATGTGTTCTGTCCATGTAAACTTCCTGACGAAGATTATGCCAAGAAATTTGGCACTATTCTGTCTAATTTTAATTTAACTTCTTTCCATTTATTAAAATGTTTGTTTAGACTATGATGGAAGATTATGCCCTGTGTTTTGAGTGGATTTAGAAGGACCTGCCAATCTTTACACCATTTTATAATAGCATGTAATCATTTTTGACATTGTTCTGCAGCAAGTAATGGATTTCTGGAAACACTCCAGACACCAATGTTGTCAGAAATTGGGAGAAATAGATGTATGTTAATTCCAGAAAAATAATGTATAAGAGAAGTGACAGTGGCAGGACAGAGCCCTGCAGTACTCCTGCTGTGATATCAAAAGTTTTCGAGATAATTTACTGTGGCTGTACGTTCAGTTAAGAAGTCTGAGATCCACCTTGTTATTG